TCTCTCATCAACTGCCTGCATGACATCAAAGCATGGATGTCATGCAACTATCTCAAACTAAACAGCAGGAAAACAGAGCTCATGGTTGTGGCACCCAAGGCGCTGCTCCAGAAGGTTGGCGACTTCATCCTCGAGGTTGACGGCTGCTCCATCTCCCCCCATCTCCTGAAGCCTGCAACTTGGGTGTCATCCTCGACTCCACCCTCTCCTTCCACTCCCACGTCAAGTCTGTGACGCAATCGGCCTTTTTCCATCTAAGGAACATTGCAAGACTCCGACCGTCACTCTCGGAGTCGGTTGCCGAAACCCTAGTCCATGCGTTTGTCACCTCCCGCTTGGACTACTGCAATAGTCTCCTGTTCGGGGTTGCCAACAAAACCCTGGACAGGCTCCAGTATGTCCAAAACTGTGCGGCTAGGGTACTCACAAATACAAAGCCATGGCAGCACATCACACCCCCCTCATCCACATACCAGTTACTGGCTCAGATCAAGTCACGCAATATCAATTTCAAAATCGTCCTCCTTACCTCAGTCCTCCATAGAACCTGCCAACCCAGATACATACCAGGACATCTTACCACCACATAGCACAACCCCCGGACAGCGGATCTATTCAGACTCATAGGACCTACTATAACACCCACCAGCACCAAAAACAAGCGCACTTCGGGGGACAGAGAGCCTTCAGCGTGGCAGCCCCACCCTCTGGAAAACGCTCTCCTGGCGAGAATACCGCAAATACACCATCCTATGATGACATATCAAAAGGGGCCTACAAACACACTACCTCTTATCACCAAGAGCAGTTGGCTAACACTACGTGATATATGATTTGATTATGATATTCTAGACATAAGCATATGTCTGATTGCACATTTTTGTATTAGATTGATTGTTATAATACCCAAGATATTATATCAGCGGGTGAGCGACTATAGGGTCACATATATCAAGGTATCAATATTATCTACATCCTTACACAATCAAACACGGTAATACACAACATATTAAATAGTCGAACATACAAGGACTCTAACACTAGACATTATACTTTTTCTCCATAATAAAACTAGCAAATCAACTATAACACACAGACCAATTGGATATTCCACAATTCCCACAAAAGCACCAAATGAGAGAGAAATACACTAGCAATTACAATTAGAGTCATCTTTAGCTTAATGATAGGAAATTAAATAACAATAACAAAAAATATATACAATATATGTGTTAAACCTGCTACTCTTTTTCTTTGACATGACCAGCCGATATAAGCTGACATCTAGAAAATGTACTTGACGGGCAAAAACGTTTTTTTTGTAAAAAATGTTTACCTGACCTTCACAGGCATGAGAAAGGGTGGAGCTTGGCCATAATTTCCCGCCGTCACAACCGATTACAACCTATAAGGCGTGCCTGGTTACAAGGGGTGGGTTCCCAACTTACCCACCGGCTTCAACCCAACACATTTTTACAAGTTTTTTTTTCCACAACTTAATTTTATTTTTAAACCCCTTCTCGCCTAAAATGGAATCTATGAGTCCCTCACTTGCGTTGTTTCCCTGCGTCCGTCCCTCCCAACAGGGGGGAAGCATGTAGCGAACGCAAGGCAAAACCCAACGAAGCAGGGAAATGAAGGTTTAAGAGAAATGGGACGATCGTTTCCTCCGGCAGCGTTCACGTGAAGAGACGTCCATTTGTGAGACAGCCGCACAGCCTGATCTCTGACCAGCAGCCAGAAAATCAGTGCATGCGCTACATCGTCCAATCAAGCGAGCGATACACAGTAAGGCTGGGGCGAGTCGTATGAGGAATTTCACCCGACAGGATGGTCTGGTAAGTTTCCTCGATTATCGCTCTCCCGTTATTGGCTCCAATCCCGGTCCTTCCGGCAAAAATAAGGCCCACTGGGCGACGCATACTCAACGAATGGCCCCGCAGACAACTAACNGTGTGTAAGAGTGAAAATATATGTATGTAAAAGGAGAACGTAGGTGGCGAGGGATGCGTTTCTATGGAAACGGCATATGGCAAGATCTCAGATTTGGCGTAGAGCTGTTGAGGCATGGACCGGTGATATAGAAGTGAAGATTGGGGACGATTGGACCGTGACGATTGGACTTACAGCAACATCGTGTTTCATGGCGAGTTGTATGCCGCCATGGCAACGGCATTTGATGACACCCCATAATACGCTTAGATGCGTTGATGGCTGCATCGTTACCAAACCTGTGAATCTCAAAGCTGTCCCGTAGATCAGGGGTTCCCAACCTCTATTGTGCCAAGGACCGGCAGATACATTAAAAAAAATGTGTGGACCGGTTGTCAATTTTAACTGATTTGAATATTTACTCACCAGGTGGCAACAAAGGCTAATTAAATTTAACAGCCTGAAGAAATACCAATAGGGGAGAGTGGGGTAAATTGAGCCACTTTTTAGTTATGCTGTCCTCTAAGCAAGGAGAAATGACACATAGTAAAAATGAAAACACACACCTATAATTCAGTATGTCTACTATCAATGGCAATGATAATAATTAATATTTGATCAAGGGCAGTGAAAATATTTCTTCTTTTAAAAAAAAGTATTGTGTCTCAACTTGCCCCGGGTTAGGGGTAAGTTGATCCAGGTTAGGGGGTAAATTGAACCACTGTTCAAACCTGGGAATACCTGCAAAAAATCTTAAAGTTAACTATAAACAATAAATAACAAACCAAATACAAGCTTAGTTTTTCAAATATTTTTAATATAAATTTCGATTGAATTGATATTTGGTTTGTTATTTATTGTTTATAGTTAACTTTAAGATTTTTTGCAGGNATTTAATAAACGGTGCCTGCCTCTCTTTTCCTCCCCCTCTTCTGACAGCCCAGCAGCAGCAGGAGACGTGGGGAGAGGGAGGCGGGCTATTTCATCGTTATCAGAAAATGATCAACCCCCCCACAGAGCGGAGCAAGGCAACGAAACTTAAAATAAGAAGCAGCATTTTACGGCGCGCTATGTATGGGTCCGCCTTGAGGGGGTTTCCCGACATGTCATTTCAGTAAATTAAAGGGTGTTTCATGTTGTCGTTGCTGTGGGACTTCTTAATACCTTGGAAAATGCCGTTTAATACTTTTTAATAGCCTTAATTTTCGCTAAATTGATTTATCAACTTTTAATACTTTTTAAGACCCCGCGGACACCCTGCAAACAAAAACAATCCCCCCAGTCTTAGAGAAGCAATTGTATAGTATGTCACAAAAACGTGAAGAAAACCTATATTGCCATTTCACATAATGTTTGAAGAGATTCCATCACTGCGTTCCTAAGATAATTGTGTTCATGACAATGAGACTGACGGCAAATCATTTAATGCTCCGTCCAGAGAGGAAATCTGTGTCATTGTGGAGTGAATGCTCATTGACCACATGTTTAGACGTCCTTTCCGGAAATGCCATTGTATCAGTTATGACTTTGCTCAAAAGTTATGACTTTTTATTTTAAAATCCGCTTCCTTGCTGGAGAATCTTCCAAATCTAAAATACTGCAAGTTAAGTGAAAAAGTTTTGCAGCAGTATGATGCAATGATGGTATGCTTGTTATGATGCTAACAATCATATCTGGCAGCTAGACTGAGAAACTTCTCTGCTTTGTTGAACTTTTTCAATAGAAATGATATATACATTGGGAACATATTTGTTACCGTTTGAATAATTGAATATGCATCTCACATTCAAAGCCTCCCGGGAAGACAATGCAAATACCATTCAACTGAAATTAGGAGGATATATCATATCATCTCACGATTTCCTCAATCTTATCTAAATCTTCTTTATATTTGCAGACGGTGACAGGAATCTCAAGCTGCTGAGCTCAGATTGGAACTTCTTCCTTAGAAAAGCATCATCAGTGGAGGTGAATCTGCTCCTGAAGCCTTCCCATTAACGCTTCTGACCACCTCCAATCAGCAGACTGTTATTTGATCAAGCACATTTTTACTGAACTAGCAGAGAAAAGTCTTTATGAAGGCTCCGTTCATACCTAACAAAGGAATTTATCCTGGGGGGAAAAAAAAGAAGACTTTGACTTTCAAAGACAAAAAAAGACACTTGTGAGTTGGATTTCATTTGATCAGCCTGAAATATGCCATCATGACAGAGTCACAGATGCTGGGTGCTACTGTGTCAGATCCTCTCCCTGCTGACCGACTGCAGACTTTTTTAATTTTTAATTTAGTTAATAGCCAGTTTTAAGCGATTCTGAAAAGGCCAAAACGAGTTAAAGAGCACAATATACACAGCAGCACTTCTAAGAAAAGGTCCTTACTTTGTCATAAGGTCATTTTATTGTCAAAATATGCAAAGAACTGGTTTCTCATTTAGGGAACAGTGTCCGAATGTAACCCAAATACTGTATAGTGTATCCAGAAAGTGCCACTGCCAAGTAATGGACGAAAAAGACAAAGTTAATACTTAAAGGGCTGTACAGGTATTATACTACAGGACATATTATCGATAGTTTACAGTAATAAAAACTGCTGTGGATATGAAAATTCGACTGAAACACAAAATGTTGCTGCTGCAAAAAAAACATTCAGACTTTGTTAAAGTAAAAAATAAAGTTCATATCCTCAGTACTTTTTTAAGAATACATGAAGTATTGACATCTCTAAGAGACATAAGTAAAACCATCCCAGTTACAGCATAGATCATAAGAATACATGGGAAGTGGTTACATTCACATATTTAAAGACCCACACAACTGTCTAATATATATAAGGGTACAAACCTAATGAAGATACATTCGTGTTAATTTACAAAATATTGATTTTTTATTTTAATATATTTCGAACACAATGCTCAGAGACAAGAGAGGACCCATAACTGGGAAGGTCATTTTCTGAATTATTTAAATCTCTCCTTGAGCTAAACACTGATCTATGACTGTTGCCACATGTGGCTGTAAATAAATAAAAAGAGCAGGCAGTGGGAACTACTCCTCAGGCAGTCACTCTGCCCCTCTAAGCACCGAACATAACTCCTGCACATCAGCTGACAGCTCCATCCAGCTGGGTCTCTGCACACTGTGTTGGCAGCTAATAACAGCCACGCAAGTGAAATCTACCCCCAGGCACAGATCCTGTCTCATAATCATCACTTCAAAACCACAACTGTGATATTTCGGTCAGCGGCTTTGGGGGGGGGGTACTCATTTTAAAACTGGGAGGACGTGTCAGCTGGCTGCTGGACGTGACCATACATTTTCTCACTGGGTATTGTGACAGCACTGCCCTCGGCGATGAACATAAAAAAACTGTCAGGCATGACCGGCTTCATTTCACTCCAGATTCGGTCTGTTGGACTCTAAGAAGGAAGGGAAATAAAAAGGCACTGCTGTGACTTCAAAAAATAAATGTTTCAAACAAATGTCAAAAAGGTTACTTTGTTGGCGTTCTATTTTTGACAGACATGATTCTTCGGTGCTATAAAAAAAGAACCCTCTATGCACACCTTTTCAAAAAGATGCTTTGCTACAAACAGCCCCTTCAGCCCCAGTATAACAGGTCTGAGCCTGATGTGATTGGGCAGATGCTCCAATAAAGAAACCACAACCGGCCTGCTACCTGTGTGGAATACTAGGAAAATAAAATGTGTGTATATTTCTAAAGAATGCACAGGACTGATTTTGGATGACAACCTCCTGTGTTCTCCCGTGTGCAATAACGCTGCTCAACAGTCCATCCATCAATACTTTCATCTCTGTCTCCATGTATTTTAAGATAAGACTTTATTGATCCCATTGTCCAATAAAATGTAGGGGATTACAGAAGAGGATCAGCGCCAGATGGAGCCTTTTATAGATCTGACTCAAAGTAAAAGAGAAATCCGACGATAGTCGGAATTCATTTTTGAGATTCAGATCTCAAAAATGTTTACACTGGTTGCCCTAACCCTAGTGAATGAATGCACAGTAAACACCTTTTCCAGTTGTAAATGTTTCAGTTTTCCTCCATATATTAGGATGTTTGTCTGATCACGACGCAATTTGTGCCAATCCCCCCTCTGATGTGGTGAAGCTGCTTGTTAACCAGTGCGTGAGGACGGCTTGATGAGGCCTCCACAGTCTCTCCATGTTGTTTGTTTTGTACCCAGCTGCTGTAGTTGTTCTGAAGGACTGAAGAGAACCTTGTGGTGTTATGATCGACACAAAGCAACATTTCCTGTTGTGGTGTTGACACTGACGTTAGAAAAAGTCATTCTTATTGTCGCTGTTTTTCCTTCAATCCAACCTGCCATTTCTTCCTCATTTGTATGTATTTTTGCTATTTTATTTTAAAATGCCTACTGTACAGTTGGTTTTCATTGTTCCTGGGTTGATGGAAATGTTCAAGAGAAGTTCATGCTGCCGAAGTTATAAATGTATTTTTTATTAAAGAGTGAATTATTTTTTACTCCTTCTCTTCAGTTTCTTTGACTTTTTCCAGACTTAATTATCTTTGTTACCATGAATTTAAATGATTAAGAGCTTCTATTTAAGTTGTTTGTGATTATCATCGGTTGTTGGCAACAAATATATAATGCTGAACACTTTGTAGATCATTCATTCAAGAAAAGGAGTCATCAACAACAATTAGCATCGCTTTGAGCTAATCGCTAATGCATTGACTATATCAAATTGCTGATGTACTGTATAGATAGAGGGTACATTCAAATGTTTACCATGGGAGCCACATTAGCTTAGTGCGATTTTCTAATGGGCTCCAAACACAACAAACAGCTGACACTAATGGTAGTGTAATTATTTGGCAGGTATTGAGAAGTTGTAATTTATGATGTTGCTGAATGAGGGGTTAAGGATCACCACTGCACTCGTCCCTGTCAAGAACAGCAAGGCTTGTACCACATTTCAAACCATCCGCCATGCTGCAAACTCTAATACAGAAAAATGTAGCCAAAGTTTCCTCAAATGACCATACAACTTCCCATAGACCCCCTTGTTTAAATTCACGACTTTACAACAGATACAAACATGTTTACAGTTTTGTGCGTTTTGTGGTACCATTAAAAAGCAAAGCCCGGGAGTGTCAAGATGGCAACGGCTGGAGCCACACATGTTTAGCTTCATAAGTCAAGGAGACTCAAGTTTCCTTCACATTAAGTGTATTTGCTCTTTGCTAATCGCGAGGTAAAGCCTGGAGCCTTGCTGTGAAAATGTTCTCTTAGACATTAAAGATGAACAAGCTAGTTAAATTACGTTTCTCTTGTTATGTCCCATGCTAGCGTTGCTTTATGCTGCTGGCCTCTGATTGGTTGATTGTTGACAAAGTTAAAATGATTTGAAGTTGGTGACACTTTCCAGCATTGTGCAACACCGTGTGTAGCGGCGCTCTCTCCATTGAAACACATTACAGTTCCATTTTACCGCTTGTCAGAGAGAGAGATACTCATTGTGGTCTGGTAAGTAAACATTTTTACAAAAAAAGCTTTTTGTTTGTCAAAGTACATTTTCTAGATGTCAGCTATATCGGCTGTCATGTAAAAAAAAAAGTATCCAGGTTTAACACACATATTGTATATGTTGATGTGTTGGCAGCGTATCAAACCATGTGAGTCATTAAGCTACAGTAAAGATGACTGAATTGTAATGCTAGACTATTTTTTCAAAAATGGTGGCTATGGGGTAAGTTGAGACACTTTTTCAATGGAGAAATGAATGAAAGTAGGCCAAGTTGATAATAAGAGCTCATTGTAGGCTACATTTAAAGTTGAATTTACCCTGTGTTTGATTGGTAAGATGTATGAAATTGTATCACCATTTGTATAATAATAGCTTGGATTTATATAGCGCCTTTCATGGGACCCAAGGTCGCTTTACAAGGAAGAACAGGGAAAAACAAACATAACAAAACAAAAGGCAATCAGACAACCAGTCAGACAGACAACAACAACAAATAGATTAGGGGCCAAAGGCCTTGGTGAACAGATGGGTATTGAGGGCCCTTTTGAAGGCATCAACAGTGGGGATGTTGCGGATCTCCGCAGGGAGAGCGTTCCAGAGGGTGGGGGCTGCCACGCTGAAGGCTCTGTCCCCGAAGGTTCGCAGTTTGGTGCTGGGGGTGGTAAGCAGGCCAGAGTCTGAAGACCGCAGGTTCCGGGGTTGGG